AGTAAAATGCATTAAAAAAAAAAAAAAAAGAGCTGATACTGGGGATGGGTGCGGCCACTGTTGTAAGTGAGAAGTTGGGAAGGTAGGATACATAAGATTATTTCATTTATATCTGTAAGCAACGATAAACTATTGCTGACGAAAGACGATTCCGAGCGCAGTTTGGTAATACATAATTTGAAGTGCCGTAATTTTTTTTTAACCTAACATTCCTACGTTTTTTCCCAATTATTATGAAAACAAATTCGAAAATCAAAAAAACGAACTGCACCATTAAAAATAAGATTCATAATTCAAAACAAAAGGTTTCTTGTCGTTTTTTAATTGGTTTCATATTTTTTTTAGAAAACGTAGTAGGTACTTACTTAAAATAACGAAATCGTGAAAAAATGTAGTTTATTTTCCGGTTAATCGTTTTTATTTTAAATACAGTTTCGAAAATCAAAAAATGATCTATATATTTACTAAGTAGTTAATATAGACTTTTATAAAAGGTGCTACACTTATTCATCGGAGTAAGATTTTTAGGATAAAAGTGGTCTACACTATATATAAAAAATAAATAAAGTACCATCGGAAATTTTACCACGTCTAGGTAAGTCCAATATAAGTATTATTGCCAAGTTTCAAGTCTTTACGTGTATTTATAATCGAATTACAGCAAAAAATTACCAAACATTAAAATTCCTTAAAAGCTCAAAAGTTCTGGTACGATGATACCGTAAGAAAGTAAATAAAAAAGGCACCCTGTCATTTTTGAATTAAATCATTATTTAGGTAGAAATCGTCGTCCGTGTTTTTAAAAAATAATGAAATCGTGAAATTGTACGTTTTCCTATGTTTTTTCCCACTTAAGTGTTTTTGTTTAAAAAATGACCAGTTTAAAGTACAATCTGGATAACTTGAGTTTTCAGAAAAGTTGCTACACGTAAAAACCGGAACAAGTTTTCTAGGAAATTACGTGCCCATAGACTAGAAGAAAAAATAAAAAAATAAACATCTTAGTAAAACCAATAGCTCCCTTGCTATACTGAGAATCTAAAATAAGAAATAAACAACCAATAGCTCCTTCGTTATACTTAGAATCTAAAAATGACCCGTTTAAAGCATATACACATATTATATTGATATATTTAAACATTAGGTACTATATACGCAACTTTTGATTGAAGCGAGTCTTCTCTGGACTAAAACTATTGTTCATAGAAAGGTAAAAAAAAAAGCAAACATCATATATACTAAAGTTAATAGATTCTGAATCAGAATCCAGAAATGGAAAAAACCATCTCGATGAAAATTATAATATTATACATGTTCACAGAGTGTGATTTCGCGGTTTGTTTGATAATTGCACTGCTGCAGTTGATGTATTTTTTGTTTTAAATCCCTCTACACATATATTGTGTTTATGCAAAATAATTATATTATAATTGTTCGAATTGCCCGGGAAATATAGTTTAGATTTTGTCGGGCCAAAAAGTTGTCGGGCACCAGATGTCCTTGTCCGCGGATTGACGGCGGCAGCAGCGCTAGGCTAAAAACTTCGGTTTCCGAATTACCGCCTGCAGTTGTTATAAAAGTTATCCACTTTACGATCACGTTTCAAAATTGCTCCCACCGAAAAAAAAAAAAAACATATTATTTGTCATAAACAGCATAAAACAATTGTATTTATAAACGACCGTTTTGAAACTTTCCCCGGTTATTTTATATTATTGCACCTAAACAATGTTTTGTATAGGTAACGTCGGAAGGATGAGAGCAGATAGCTATGTATTGCGTAACGCATGCAATTTTCCATAGAAAAATGATTGTACATCTTTTTTTTCAAAGAAGACATTTTTTACGGATGTAGTAATTTACTAATCGATGATCGAAATTGGTCTTGGTTTTGCAGCAATATTTACAAGACCATGCGGGTACTGACACTAGTCGAGGCGAACCGAAGATGGGTCGTGGGAAGTTTACTACTCCCCACCCCATCAAGGGTCCATTTAATCGGCTGACCTCTTATATAAAACAATATAATGATTTCTAAAGTATCTTATTGATATAAAACCGCGGCTAGTATACCTAGATGAAGATTATGTGTTATGATCTTCCCCCTCCACAAAAAAACCACATTTAGTACAAATATCATAGTAACTATTATTGAATTTTAACGGCGGTGTTCAATGAGATTACAAATCGTTTAAATCAAAATCAGATAATATTCTGTGATTTGCAATGTAGCAAATTAAACACTGTATTCTGGCGATGATCGACCAGATAAAAATGTTTAGGATGGTCAATATACATTGCCCCGAATTGTCTGAAGATGGAGGATGAATGTAAATTTTATGTATGTGAGGCTCACACTAAATTTTAGATTTTTAGATTCTGAGTGAAGTGAGGAATGTATTGGTTTTATAATGATTTTTTTTTTTATGTGAATACTTTTTCTACCAGAAAGCATACTCCGATTATCAAGTATAGCACCTTTTCTAAAAGGAAATATTCTCTGAGTGGTACTTTAAAGAGGTCAATTTTTGAAATTCTCATAATATTCGAAATAATGAGGAAAACTTGGTCTTTAGGTTAAAAAAGATTGAAAGGTTGTCATTGGCAACCGTTTTTATTTATTTTTTGTAATTATTAAGTTTTTATTATTTTTATTATCCTTTTTAAACAATCATTGTTATCATAGAAACGCACATTGTTGTAATCATTTTACCATAATATGATATACCGTATTTTGTATTGTTGGCAAAGCAACACTATCAACTGAACGCCGCTCAGAATCGTTTTTTCGTTAAAATGGTTTAGCGTTGCTTACACATATACATTAAATTACCGTCTGTATCTTACCTTACTAACTTCCCATCTATAACAGTGGCTGCATCCACGTGGTGCAAAATATGTCCGTCCTTTTTTTAAAATTATTTTTCGTATGTTTAACCACTACGATAATATTGTAAAACGTATATAGACATTAAACAATTATTTACAAAATCCACTTTCTTCCAAATAATATTCGTCTCATAAACTGCAGTGTGTGGTCGTATGTGAAGATAACAATTTTGTTATCGTACACCGGTTAGTACAAAAGCCGCGAACTCGCCACGGTTAAACGGTTTTAAATGAAAAACCAAAAACAAAGGTAACAAAGATTTATTTAAGCACACACGCGTTTAGAGGTCATTGCAGTGCGGTGAATATGTTTTTGTACATCGGTGGTTGTCTGCAGAGAGGAAAAAAAACAAAACGGAACGAAAAAAACGAGTACCACTTAAAAAGGTTTTACATGAATATGCATTCAGTAATTTTATTTATTTTAAGGGCGAAAAAAGAAAGAAAAACAATTTTTTATAGTTGTTTTGTTTTCTAATGGATAAGCCCGCAGTACTTTTGAATAATGTATTTTCTTTCGAAACGCGCTTATAATTAAACGGATTAGCCACGGTTCATGAATTATAAACATAATAAACCAAACGAATAATGGATACAAATTGATTTATTTTTTTTACCGCCAAATAAAAACAATGACTTATACGAAAATCACATAGAAAATAAGTATTATATCAATAAAAATCTATACAGTGTTAAAATTTCAATTTCAAATAGTTCAAACTTCAAATTTTTGGAAACATTGAAATATTTTTAATTTTTGTCTGACTAGTATATAGAAACATTTATTTATCTAATGAACCAATACGATACACAAAAAAGTCACGGTAATAATATTACGCGGTACGTTCGCAGTTTGATTACTACACTTCTACGACGCTTTTTATGGTTTTTTTACCCTCGTGGTAATTTTCCACAAGAGCGATTCGGTTAAATTGGCATAAATCGTCAGTCCCGAAAAGCTTTCAATTTATATTCAATAATAAAAAGTAATACTATTCATAAAGCAATCCAAATACAATTATATAATTATTCAATCCATAATAATAATTATAAAGTATACAAGCTCAGTGGCGTATTTACTGAGTGAGATCAGGTAGATAAATCGTTATTGACATTATATTTTTTTTTAACCTTCTTTTAGTATATATTATTTATATAACTACCTATTTTTAAATTTAAATTTCTTTAATTTTTAGTTCGAAAAATAAAAAAATCTTTTGGGCTGGTTTTACACAATTATGGTTTTTACCTATGCAGTTGTTATAATGAATCAATCAAATTTCAATGTTTCATATTTTCAGATTTAAAATGAAACCTATATCCATACCACTATAAGGGTTTGATTAGTATCTAAGTAGTAAATAAATAAATAATAATTTCTTACTTCATACTCAGAATTTACATATTGAGGGGGAGAGGGGAATCTGAAAATAATTATAATTGTAATATATAGGTATAAAATTGTTAAATAGGTAGAAAAGTTGGTACATATTCCTTTAAAAAAGGTCAAGGAAAGTGGGTTATAACATATTTAACCTCCCTCATCTTTGACTTAAGTCCCTTAATCTATGTATACGTAATAGTTATTTGATTTTAATAATAATTTTAGGAATTAAATAAATATATAAATAAATAAATAAAATATCAATCTTTTTTTTTTTTTTTTTAACTTGGATATGCGTTATACAATTTTAAATTAGTTTAAAAGTAGTTTTCAAATTTAATAACTCAGTTCATGATAAAATCTAAATAACCTCTTTGTAGATGTATTGAATTTTTGTTCGGTGTAATATGTCTTTTTTTAGTATCTAGCTTAACCTTTAAAATAAAATATCTTCAATTTTTAGTAAGACAAATCAAAAATGTGTTACCAATTAATACATCAAAACAATGTGAACGTTTATATATTTTATCATTTAAAACGTAACCTATCCAAATCATTATAATACTATAGAAGTTAAGTACTCAGATTAAAACCAACCTGAATATTAAAAATGACTTAATAATAATTGTTAATACCTAATTATTTGATTTCAATAGTAATTTAACATTTTAATTTTAATTTTAAATTACTTACAAAAATACATAAAATTAAAATTAAAATTTGTTTAGTCTAATAGTTCAATGTTATACAGGATGATTAATTAAGCATGCGCACCCCATTTTTAAAATTCAATTTTGCATGTATTAAAATTTTTAATTTTTGGAATTATTAAATGTAGTTAAAGCCGATATTTTCGAATCCATAGATTTTCCACAACATCCTGTGGTGATACCAATTTTGGTTTTTCGTATGAGAATCTACAAGTTTTAATGTAAATTGTAAAAAAAGATAATTTTTCTGAAAATTCTGATGAATCGTAATTGATATTCGTATGAAAAGTTTCCGAGTTATTCTACTTTACTAAAATACTAAGGATAACAGTTTAAAAAGCATAATTTATGTAGCGGCACGACGAGCGGCGTTTTCATAGTGTTCCACTAAACTCTCTCTCTCTATAACTAAAAAACGGAATCTCATCAACAGGTTGACAGAAATCAAAAATGTCAACACCATTATTATTTAAACTAATACTTCATTTATTTATGAAATTTTTATTATAGGTTCTTATTTGAAAATTCAAATTTGGTATCACCACAAGATACTCCTTAAATGCTGTGAACAATTTAAGTATTCGAACATTACATTAACTACATTTAAAAATTCCAATTATCAAAACGTTTGTATAATATATAAAATTTAACCATACAAATGAGGTGAAAACGTTTAAGGAATCACCCTGTACAATATGGCACAATTTCCAAATTCTATATCTCGTTCTCCGTGACCAAATCCTGAGTACGCCACACTGACTACAACTAATATTATTACATTACAACGTTTTTTAAAACATATTTTCACATGAATACACACACACAAATTATATACTTGTAAAATAATATTATACGTATATTATCATTATAAGAGAGCCGCACACCTGAAAATATGTAAGAGGAAAACCGTGTTTCGCGAGCGGTACGATTAAAGTTCTGAAGCCGAATGTTTACACGGCAAATTTAATAGAATTTTATAACGTGCACTTTTTCATTAATAGAACGAAGTCATCGAGGGTGATTAATTTTTTTCCCTGAAAACAATTAATATAATTGTCGAGTGCATATTATATTTATAGGTACGCACGACGAGTTTTGCAGTAGAAATTGTCTATAATGCGTTTAATGTTTATGTGCGGATCGTTCGCCAGGGACCGCGTAATTCCACCACCCAACACATTAGCCGGTTACGAACATTTTTACTACAGTCTGTCAAACGTTCAATTTCACTTAGTGCTGTGCCATTCACTCGTGGCACTTCGCGAATACTTTTCGGGGTTTATTTTTTTTTTTCTTTCTATTACTGCAAAACTCTAAGACTGCAATACTATTATTGTTTAACGATATCGCAATGATGTTACTATCGAATGTGTTTTCCACGTATAAGTATACGTACCTATAGGTATATTATATAATATTCTTAATTGAAAAATGTCGAAGATTTTAAAAACAACTGTATAATATTGAAACTTTCCTTTTTATGTTTCCCACTCAAACGATTCCCGTATAGTCCGTATAGGTAGATACTATTAACTGTATTTATACCAATTAGAGTTATTTTGCAGACTGCGATCAAACACGACTGAAATAATATGTTAGAGTGAATTAAAACCAGAGCTACAAAATACGAACTGAGAAAATAGCGATTTTGCGTAGTGGTGTCGAATAGATTTTTAAGGACTTTTTCTTCGTCTGGCGTAGCTACCTACTCTCCGTATACAAGTTTTGACCGACATTAAAAAAAAATAGCATGACAGCCATTTCTTGTACTAGTGGTGTGTCCAAAAATTTCCAACATTGGGGGTGGTAGTAACTATGATTATGAATCGTACTATTCCAATGGGAATTTAAAAAACCAGATCCAGAAAAACCAATTCGTATTTAATAAATAAAGCTTTCGCTGTAATTTGACTGAAATATATAGATTTTTAAGATTTGAATTACCAAATTCATAGGTATTGTATTTTTAAGCGAGTAGGGGGCATATATTATCCTCAATAACTCCTTCCCGGCATACGCCACTTATTATTTTTAATTTACCATTTACTAATGGCGAATTTACTGGGCATCCTTAAGAATAAAAAAATAAAATAGTAAATGTAAAAATTATTCTATCATCATTACTATACGTTTAACATAATATTTGAAAACAATAAAAATGTATGAAAAAAGATACCGACATACTTCGCACGATGGGTGGGTCATTGCTGTAGGCGAGAAGCTGGGAATTTAGGATACAGAGAAAATTCATTGTTTATCTGTACGCAACTGCTAACGGAAAACAAATTTGAGCGGAGTTTGGTTAAATATATATTGAAAGGCCGTAATATTTACGATTTGAAAATAATAAATTTCGTTTTCCCCATTTATTATAAAAACCTCGCATAAACACCATTGTAAAACCAATACATTCCTAGCTCCACTCAAAATCTAAAAATCTCGTTTATTTCAAACATACTCATCTACAGTATTCATTGTGATGTTATTTATCTCCGCGTAGAAATATACTGGATATATAAACAGTTTTTGTTTAAAATATTGACATAAAGTGTATGGATAAGTTTTATTTTACAACTACTTAGTTTTGGCTTACGTCATCATCATCATCATTTTTATATAATTAAATAAAAGTGTCGTAAAATCTCAAATATATAATAGTGGATATGCCAAAAGCCTGTTCCACTAGAAGCCGAGGTATTATTCACCCAAAGTGTGCTCAGTCAGTTGCGCTTTGCCGACGAATCGTATAATTACTAATATTCGAGTGTATCACAATTTCGTTACAATTTGTTCATTGTTATTTAGTGCTATAATTAGTATATTATTTTATAGATAGTGACTTGATTTTCAAGAATTTTTCCGACGAGAAATTACAATACTTTATGATAAATGAGAATGTCCATACTAGGGGTGAGCATTCGCTACTGCCACATACACCCAATAACACGCTTTCAAATGTTCCTCTGAAATACCCAATCAAAGCATTTGCATGTTCTGAAATGGTTGGTTTGTTTTCGAAAATATTTATATTCTAGAATTACATTTTTAACATATTTCTAGGTTTTTATTGATTTTTATTGTATGTTTGTTTTGTCCGGTTATGTGCACAATCGGAAACACATGGTCGGGAACTGAGATTCGTGGTGAAATCGTTAAGCCCACAAACAAACGAAAAACAAAGCGAAAATACATATTATGTTAAATTCAAAATTGAATTGGTTTTCAGAACATTTTTCTCTCCCTTTCAAATGAAAAAGTTTAGATAGCCCCGTTGATAATAAAACAGAGAGCGAATGATATTTATGCAATTTTCACGAGTAGGTATATTTTTTTTTTTACAAATGTCGAGTGAGGATATAAGAATAATGATATCGGGTATTTGGATTTTTTTTTTTAACAATATTATTGTATGATCATTTATTTTATTATTTAATATATTATATAATTGTATATTAAAAACAATATTAAGACAATATTGAAAAAAATAAAAAATAAAATAAAATAATAATTATGCCAAAAACTGTAGTTAAAAAAAAAATATCTTACTTTTATAAAGTTATAATAATAATAATATAGGCTCTATATATAATAAATATATATATATATATATATATTTGTATATATTATATATTGTCGAATTGAAAAATTATTAATTGTTATACCGCTAAATTATAATATAATAATAATAATTATAATGTTATGATAATATTTACAAACAAATGTGACGAGTGTTAAACACGTACTTATTATTTGATATGGGTTTATAGAGTGTAATATTATACTACGACGAAAAAAAACCAATTTCGAATGTGTATGATCAATATAATGGGACAATGAGATATATTATATGCAATCGGTGTGTGGGGCGGTGAGTATTTAGATGTTCCAGGAGGGGGGAAGCGTATAATGTTATTATAATGCTCCAGCGGTACATATGAATTTTGGACGCTGTTTGTCGAGAAAATGCAGTGGGGAAGGGAGGAGGGGGGTAATTCAAACTATTACATTGTATATTATTATCACTCGGAGAAGATATGTACGAAAAAACTGCACCCAAAAAAACAGCGACGCGCACGTATTATTGGCTTATTAATGTTTCTATAACATTACATACATATTCGGTACGTGTAATTAAATTAACTTGGGCCGAACGCACGCTGCAAACGAGCAGAACATTTTTTTTCCTGACAGCTTAGCTGTGATTTTTTTCCGAACGTTTTAGGCTTTTACAGATTGATCGTCTGAAGTGCTCGTCTCGAATTGACTATGCATAAGGTACTTTGTAGTTCGGTTTGTATATACTCGACGAAATTTGTTAAAAGCGAACCGTTGTAAGTCGCGGTATCGTTTTTAAACGGAAAAATACCTAATCACAAGTTGAGTTTGACGAAAGTTTATTATTATTTTTTTTTTGTTGCTCTTTTAGTGTGCGTTCGGCTGCATGTCACGTGCGGATATATTTGGCGGTGTTTACGATGGGGGCGGTAGGACAGGATAATGGTGATGATAACGTAGTGAGTGAGCACACTGTATACATATATGCATATGTATATGTACCGGGTGACGTCGGCGGTGGAACGTATACACGTATATAATATATAATTGAAGTGGTTTTGTGAACGGGCTGGCGGTTGTAGGGTGGCTGGTGACGGATGGCGGCGGTAGCGACGTCGGCGGTCCTCCTTACACGAACACGAACTGCGCTCCTTTTTTACACATCGGACACGAGTGTCCGTCCTGTTGTCCCGCGGACTCGAGACGGACCCATTTTCCGTGACAATGAGGCGCCGACAGTACGGTCCATCTCGTCGCCCGATCCATTGTCCCATGGCCCGGGCACCGGAACCCCAGCGACTGACGCATCGCCTGCGTGTCGCACCGCACGCACACGCGTTCACCTGAGGACGGGAAAAAAATGTATATGTAAAAAACCAAACAACAGTATTTTTTTATTTTTTTGTTATAAATAAAACGTCATATCTTTAGGTTATGGGTTACGTTACGCACATAATGGGTTTCGGGTATAATGTTGAAACAGATACGGTCGTAGAGCAGCATTCCACTGACACCGTGTGGACCGTGTAACATTTAACCGAGTTACCAAAATATGTGATTATCTAACTAAAGTGGACCTTTGATAAAAAAAAAAAAAAAAATTATACGCTGAATGTTGACGGCGGATTACTAATCAATTCGAAATATGAATTCAAGTCCGCATTTATGGTCGGCGAATATGGTATTATCGAACTACGAGTTTACCTATGATGAATCCAGGTATGTTCTAACCAGTCCATGTATAAGGCCGCAAAGCAATAAAAAAAGGTTATCCGTTTTTTTTTTTTTTTTTCGTGAAATTGGCCTATCCGCCCATGACGGCGGATGTATGGTAGGTGAGTCCGATACTATTAAATCATTGTGCCTAATTAGTTAATTGCGATCGTCGTCACGTCACTGGTTTCAACCCCGATTTTCAGGCGATTCAAATATTATTTTGCAGTAGGTACTGCGTATATGTACGCGAGAAATCGTTTTACCGTTTCCGTGCCGTGTGACGTAAGTCACTTTATAGTACGGGTATTTGAAACACTTATATATTTTCCGTATCTCATTGCATGAAACTATTTGCACGTCATTCGGCGGCACATGCGTTTTAAGTGTTGCCTACATATAAAGTATGAGTGACTACTTCTCGTACATAGTATACGTGCCTACCTCCCAGTAAGAGACTTTACTTCCGTCGTAAGGGCGTCAAATGCAAAATAATATAATAAATATTTGATATTATAAATTATTATAGGCGGAGGTATATACTCGTTTTATTTGCACGCCGTCGTCTTAAGACTATGTGTTTACTGTACTATACGCGCACGGCCGTCGTTTGGTTTAAATATTCACCAGTCAATTTATCCTCTACACATATATATTGTACATACGCACACGACTTACTTGCTCACTACGCGGTATATGCGAATCCCCAATCGTTATTATAAAACGTTTAAACTTTAATGCTCGAATTGTAAATATTTAATCCTTAAACTTTTTGATCTTTCGGGCTATCGGGCGTTCGAAACGTATATAATTTCGTTATATTACACACCTATGTATATTATATTCAGCCGACAAACTTTATTCGACGAAAATATTACTATACACGTGTATCAAGTATTTTACATTTTTCGCAAATAACGGATACTGAAAATTCGTGGTGAAGTATGTACAACGAATAATATAATACAGTGTTAATAATAACTATCGAAACGCCGACAAATCGCTCGTCACTCGGACCTCAATCAGAAACGTTCAAAATGCGGGTACTCGAGTGCTGATGTGTTAACCGCTTAGCTAACTGAAATTTCTAACCCGGTATCTATTACCACAAGGGGGATAGTGTTTTAAATGTAAACCTAAACCTAACGCGTCAGCGAGCTTTTGTGTGGATAAAAAAAAAATTGTAAACATGAAGGTCGAAAGATTCGAACGCGATAACCTATGCAGTTAAATAGCGTCGGGTATATACGATTACGTACCGACTTGTATACAATTGCGGGTAACTTGTATACAATTGAATATTTGGCTTGTGATCTAACCTAATCTAACCCAACCTAATCGGTCGTTCATGAAACGGACGTTTCTGATTTTTTATGTATAGATTTTTCGTTACACTCAGATTTGAAAATTTAATGCCCGAAAAAAGCAGTTGAATTTGTTCGAAGTGGTTTTTATTATACGCTGTATCTTATACAGAGTAAATCAATTTTTTTTTTTCAAATATAATTTATGAACTGTATTTAACGATATCGTGTAATTTTTTTAACGGACAAATGTGTAGTTAGCATCATTACGAAAAGAGGTTTCGGTTCGAATACATCCGAGAGGGAAGACGCGCGTTTTCTAATGTGGTAATTTATTACAGTATCTAACAAATATCTATAGTTATATATATATATATATTTAGTAAAAAAAAAACCGTAATTTATTGGAATATCGATCAAAATAATGTATTAAATTTAACGAAGCCTATAATATCAAGCGTTTATACAGAAGTATATTTTATAATGTATATGTGATTCATCTCGAGGATATTTTATGTGTATAGGTAGGTTAGGTGTATACGTCACCCGTCAAATTAAAATCGAATTTCAAAATGAAGATGTTTCGCGCGCACGTGTACACGGAAAGATTTATCGAGTACAATATTCCCCGTGCTTCGTAGGTTGGTACCTATATATATATATTTAGCAGCTCTCGTGTTGCCATTAATTGTTACGCGGCTTAAACGCGCCTAAGTTTATATACAAATAAGATTAAAATACCTCAAAGCCGTAATGTAAACTATATATAGGTACTATGTGTAATAATTTAAAACGTCAAGGCGCAGCAGTTGTATATGATTTATATTCGCGAACTCAAACGGCGGCGTCTAAGTACATAATATACAACACAATTATTATTATTGTTGTTCGAGAAAAATACGATTGTACTTTTAAGTCGGTTCACGCGGCTGACAATTTTCGTCTTCAAGTTGTTCGGACGCAGTTGTCTATTTTGTGTCATAATCCAAATAACTGCAGACATATTCTTGAAAATATCCCATAGATTTGACAGTGTATAGATATCAGAACCCACTGGATAGCCGATCGGCCGACTGTACATGATAGGGGTAGTTCCATATAAGTTGTACGTATACAGTTTGGCGTCCGCCATCCATGTTGTAATATTTGTTTATGCCATGGATTTTGTGATGATAATTCAAGATGTTCGCTAGGCTATACCCGAGGGTATACTAACTCATCGGACGATTTACATCTATACTCGCTTACGCTATATTGATTGATTTTGTACTCAGAAACCAATTCGACCGTTTGATATCAAGGCATACAGTCAAATAAAGAACGGCCCACATTAAGATGTATTATAACCTGTGGTCGTCTGGTTATGCGTGGTATCGACCATTCATATTATAATTATTACTGAAGGTTTCGGGAGTCTATTTTGTGGTTGCTGCCGTACGGTTACACGGAAGCACCACAGAGCGTATACGATATTGGCAAAACACAGACATTGCACAGTCTAAACCTGCATTTTTCAAACAAATATTTGAATCGGCTGGCTTTACTATTTTGGATTTTTCGTATACATAATTCATATATTATATTGTAACTCCGCTTAAAAAGTGACATAACTGTAAAAGCATGATTTTTCAATTTATTACGACATATTCTCGTATTAAATAAATATCATAATATTATA